CCCAGCACTTAGGAGCAGAGACAGGTGGGCAAGCGGATCTCTTAGTCTGAGACCAGTCAAATCTACAGAATGAGTTCTAGAACAAACAGCCAGGACTAGAGAAAAGCCTGGTCTCAAAAAAATTTTTAAAGGCCTTCCAGTGATGGGTGGGGTAGAAGGGACTCCCTGGCAGCACAGGTCAAATGGCGGCAGAGGTGAGCAAGCAGAAGCAGGAGAAAGCCCAGGGGGCAACCAGAGGCACACAGTGGGCCTAGTTTCCCTGCTGCAGGCAAGAACTACAGCCTACTACTTTAGGAGACTGGATGCAAGGGCACGACTGCTCCCAGGTACGGCTGAGGAGATTTACTGTAGATATGAGGGAAAGCACAGCCAGAGGCCTCCGGAAGGGTAGAGTGAACTGGATGGGGGGGGGGGGGGGGCACCTGGGAACCAAGAGAGCTCGTGGGAAACAAGAGGTCAAGAGGGCATGTAGCCAAAATAGCTGAGTTGTATAGGGAAGAGAAGTTCGAGAGGGCTGGAGAGGTTTAGGGTATGGGGGCAGGGGGAAAGTCAGCCAGGATAACTCTGTACCAGGTACTTACGATAGGGAGAGACTGGTGGCCAGAGCTGACTTTGCTATGTTAGACTAGGCAGCTCAGTTAGCTATTTGTCTCTCTGAGACCTAACGGAAACCACCCTACTATCCTTCCCCTTCTCTGGCTCTCCCTCCTGCCTTCCTCCCTCCTTCCCCTGCTTCCTGACCCTTCAAAGGACATGCTTCATCTTTTGAGACCCTGTGACATGCGCCTCAACCTAAAAAGGCAGGTTAAAAGGCTCAAAACTAGTGGCTACCATCACAGACAAAAAATGTTAACAGCGACAGGTCTCTGTCCCTCCCTGTTCCCTGCTCCAGTGCTGCCCAGGGCTCCCTACATTGCAGGCCTGGCTATGGGCCCCCTGCACACAGAGGATGTCCAGCAGTGACTAGACAGATAGATGTAGAAGTGAGGCTAAGGAACACCATAGCCCAGCAGGCAATGGAGCTGGACCTCACAGTGCCAACTTGGAAGAGGTGGGGAGGAAAAAAAAAAAAGCTACCCAGCCATTGACCCCGAGCAGGAAGCTGGCCACTCGCTGTGAGCCTCAACTTCCTGTTCCACAAAATGAAAGAATGAAGAGACATATCAGCACAGAGGAGGACTGACATAAACACGGTGCCAAACCACAGGGCGACGCTGCTGCCGCCCTGATGATCTGCAATGTCTAGGAGCTGAAATCGCAGAAGAAAGCAAACAGGCTCCCCCTCTCCAGGGTCCCCACCAAACTTCCAAAGGGCTTTTTGTTGCTGTTGTTGTTGTTCCAACAACTCCCAGAAAGAGGCTACGGTGGCCATCTATGAAGTGTGCACAGTCCCTCGTACCCCAAGTCCCAGCAACGGAACAGACACGGCCCAGATAGGACATATAAGAATGAGAAAAAGAGCGCGTGGCAGGGACAAGGCGAGCAGAGTACATCCTTAAGTGGACAGGCACCTCACTGCCTGGCCCCAGCCCCGCAGTCAGAGCCTGGCTGCCATGCAGCACAGCTACCCTTGGCAGTCTCCAGAACAGGACTTATCTGAACTAAAACGTATTATCTTTAATGTAACTCTTCGGAAAAACACCAGGGAAGGCAGCCAGAAAGACACTTCCGGAACTAAATTCTGGATCCCTCACAACTTGCTGGAACTGGTAGGGTGAAGGACCAAGAGCAGGAAGAAAACACTTACACTAAAAATGACAAGAACCCAAGGATTCATTTCCGAGCAGACTCCCTCAAGCGATGCCTCAAGAGCCAGCCACGATCTTCCCAAAGGATTAAGAGGGCACAAGGGTCAGGTCTCATCCAGGCGATCTGACAGTCCTGCTCTCTCAGCCTAACCCCAACAGAACCTGGAGGAGGCACCAAAGGCAGCGCAGGAGCTGTCAGGTCAGCTCCGTGTAGAGCCAGAGCCTCCGGACCACCGCTGGCTGCAAGCGGAGCAGGCACCAAGATTCACACTCTTCTGGACAGACCTTGGAAGCGGTGGCCCCTGCTATCTACAAATGGGGCTTGGAGAATCCCAAAGGCTGCATTCTGGTGAAGACAGATCAGAGAAGACACTCACCCTGCTGGGCTCCAGAGTTCCTGAGCTTAGCTACCAGGCTCTGTCCTCCTAAGGTGCAAATGTTATGTCTTTTACAAATAGAATCATTAAAAAAAAAAAAAAAAAAAAAGCAGGGGCTGGAGAGATGGCTCAGTGGTTAAGAGTACTGACTGCTCTTCCAGAGGACCCGGGTTCAATTCCCAGCACCCACATGGCAGCTCACAACCGTCTAAAGATCCAGTTGCAGGGGGATCTGACACCTTCCCACCAATGCACATAAAAAGTTAAGTAAACCTTTAAAAAATGCAAAGGGAGAGGCTGACACCTCCCTGTGACAATCTGGGTTGGCCCCTACTAGCACTGGTGACCAGACAATGGTAGCAGCGTCAATTTCTATCTGAGGGAACACTACAATGGCTAGCCCTGCTGGCCATCCTATCTCACACATCAGGGTCTGAAGCAGTGGTTCTCAACCGGTGATCTCTCGACCCCTTTGGAGTCAAACGACCTTTTCACAGGGTCCACAGAAGAGCATCAGAAAATACAGACTTTGCATTACAATTCATAACAGTAGCAAAATTACAGTTATAAAATAGCAATAAAAATAATTTTATGGTAGGGCATCACCACATGAACTGTATTAAAGGGTACAAAGTTAGGAAGGTTGAGAAATGCCGGTCTAAGGGCACTGGGTTAGGTTATCCATTCACCCAGCAGTGGTGTAGAGGAGCCTGATCCGCCCAGTCCACCCTCAGGACTGGACAGGGACTGAAGCAGCAACAGGCAGAGGTGGGCTGGGTCATATGAGCTCCTGTAAGGCAGAGCATGAGACTGGACTCCACCCCTTAGCTTGGCTACAGGGTCTGCACAGCAGGGTCACCTCCAGCCCCAGCACCCCACCCTATGACTCAAGGTCCAAGCCCACAATCCACTCCCATTTCCCATAAGCATATGCTGGGGCAACGCCAGGGAAACAGGCTAGAAGCCAAGGGGAAAAGCCCTGATGTAGCCCCTCCATCCCCACACGGAGCAGGCAAAGTACACTCACTGCAGGGTCAGAGATGTCCTGTCAAAAACTGCTGACAAGAACAAGGGCAACCCTTCTTCATAAACAGCTTGACCACACAGTTGGCCGAACAGATGATGAGAGCTTAATCCAGATTTATGTGTCTTACATCATGCATTCCGCCATAGCAAATTAGAATCAAAATGAAATTACATGAAATTATACACAGAACACTCCAGGGCTGTGCTGTTGAACAAAACATAGGTTTGGTTGGATGTTCCCATCTTTTTCTCTATATGGTTATTCAATATCTGGGGTGTGGAGTGTGTGTGAGTGTCTAAGTCATCAGCTCCTCCTACCCAGAGTGCTGTGGCAAATTCATCTCAACCACTTCCAGGGACAAGACCAAGAGAGAGTCCCAAATAGATCTATCAGATTGAAAAGCCACTCATAGAACAGAATACCAAGCAAGGCACCATTCACACACCCAAGCAGGGGGAAACACAATTCTCTATGTGCATGATAATACATCAAACTCCCTGCACCTGCCCTGCAGTCAGGACCTCCCACATTACATAGAGACCTTACTACCCACTACCTGGCCTTGGCAGCTTCTGGAACCTTGATGCAAATCTCCAAGACCCCACCCCTTCATTCGTGCATGCTTGACAAACCTACAAAATCATGCCCATAGCGCCAAGTTCCGCTGATAGCTGGAGACCTGGTCCCCCAAGTCAGAGCTGCAGTGGCCCCTATATGCTTTTATAGCCCCCCCCCAAAAAAAACACTCTAAAAATTGAACACTCATAAAAACAGACTCTCAAAATGAAGACTCCCAGGACACAGAAACCTGCTGGGGCCAGTGGCTCCCAGAAGCCTAGTGCTGAGCACTGAACTGGCTCTGAACACCACATCATAGGGAAGCCCCTTGAGGGACAGGTCTCTCGACACTTACAACAGCGAAGTTTGTTCTCTCAAGCACATCCTGGACGGGTGGGCTGTTTTCTCAAACACCCAGTCCCTGAGGATCATCCTCAGGGCAGTCAGGGCCTCTCTCTGCCTCTTCCACCAGCAGGCAGCAGCTGCTTGCTCAGAGGCCAAGTCAGCTGTGGCGGGGAGAGCGGGCAGCAGAGAGGCTTGAGGAGACAAACCAGATTACAGGTCTGCACTTCAACCCTCAATGCCCCAACCAAAAGACATTACAGTCACGATTCTACCCAATAGGAGTGACAGAGGGCTGGAGGCATGCCTTGGTTGTTAAGGCGTTTAGCTAACATGTATGAAGCCCCGAGTTTGATCCCCGCCACTGCATAAACCAGTAGTAAGAAACACCTGTAACCCCAGAACCCAGGAAGTGGAAGCAGAAAGACCAGAAATTCATGTTCATCTTCAGCTACATATGGAATTCAAGGCTGAGTTGAGCTACATCAGACTTTGTCTTATGGGGAGGCAGGCAGATCTCTGTGAGTTCGAGGCCAGCCTGGGCTCTTACACAGAGAAACCCTGTCTCAGGGGAAAAACAACAACAAACAAAAGATGAGTTACCAATATTTTTGATGGCACCTAACGTCATCACTCCATACCCATTCTCATCAGGAAGCCACGAATAGTCACAGTCTCTAAGGCCTTTGCATCTGCCTGACCTAAGGTTCCTCTCTCTCACCAGGGGGTGGCCAGCACTCTCAGTTTTTAATGGCATCCCCTAGATTTAGATGTAGGTGGTTCCCCTGACTGAGAGAGGGAGGATCCACCCTCCTGCTCCACCCTGTCACACAGCCTGGTTTCAGCACCTTCCCATCAGTGACACGGCTCAACAGACACGGGGTTGGCAGGCAGCCAGCCTGTGTGGCCCACATGACCCAGTGCAAGCGTGTCGAGGAGCCCACTCACCTTCCCGAAGTCTCGGACATCAAAGAGGTCAAAGGGGTCAAACAGCTCGCTGTTCCTTAGTCCAAATTTATCGTGGCAGACTTTGAGGAAGGTGCGAATATTCTTCAAACACAGAAACTGGAGAGAGAGAGAGAAAGAAGCATCAGTAAGGGGACATCAGAATCTCAGAAAACATCAGTCACAGGAGCCGCAAGGTCCTGCGCGTCCATGCAGACAGAGGGAATAGGCGTCTTGGCTGCAGGAGAAATCCCTGTTCCAGGCTGGGGAGGGGGACTGGAGCTCAGAAGCTCTGCAGCCTAGGTACTCCCAGGGTGGGGAGCTCTTAACGTTCAGGTTGCTTTGCAGGTGACAGGTGACACCAAATCACAGCCAGCTAACCCACACCCTGCCCTGGCGTAAGCCTGTTCATCCCAACCCTGATGCTGAGCTCGAGTCAACAAGCACGACAGAGCACCTCACACATGTGCACATCACGCTCATGTGTGCGTGTACCCACAACTCCGTGCAGCACACATCCATCCCTTCACAGCAGCCAAAGCCAGTAGCACAACTGTGCCACTGACAGCCAAGACCTTGGAAAGGAGCTACACTGGGCACAGCAGGAGACTGGAAGAAAAAAGGTTGTAACTCCCAAAGCAGCGCCAGGGTCCCTCCTCTTTGGCACCATCTCCGCCACTAAGCTCCTGGCCAGCTCTGACCCTGACTTGTACGGGAGGGACAATAAGACCATCAACTTCTCGTGCTTATGGAGAATCAGTTGTAAAAAAACTGACAGGAGGGACTGGAGAGATGCTCAACAGTTAAGAGCATGTGCTGCTCTTTAAGAGGATGGGGCTTCAGTTCCCAGCATCCAGATCCAGTTCATGCAGCTTTTAACTCTAGTTCCAGGGGAACCTAACTTCCTCTTCTGGCCTTTGTGGGAACTGCATGCATACAGGGCACATAGAAACAGGCACACATATATACACATTAATGAATTACACTTTAAAATTAGGAAATAGTCAGGCAGTGGCAGCAAACACCTTTGATCCAAGCACTCGGGAGGCAAAAGCAGGGAAATCTCTGTGAGTTCAAGGCCAACCTGGTCTACAAGAGCTAGTTCCAGAAGAGCCAGGACCGTTATACAGAAAAATCCATCTCAAAAAAAAAAAATTAAAGAAACTGAAAGGCAGAATGGAGAAGGCCCCCTAGCACAGGCTTTGGAACACTGGGTTCCTGGTTTGAATCTTGTCTGGGAAATGACAAACAGTGGCCCAAGCTTCTGAGGTACTTGCTAGGCAGAGATTGTCCTCTGATAGCAGGCAGGGGCCAAATCGTATGTAGAGGCCATTTAGGACCCAACACAGCTGAGCATAGCATTTGAGTGGCAAGGACCCAGTACCTGCAGCCCAGTACAACCTAGATTTTAGGCCAATCAATACCCACCTACAGGACCAACTACCAATCTCAAGTGAACTTCAGGAAGCCTGTCCCTGGCTATCAGCAGTTTGTAGACAAATGAACGGATTCTGATATGACTGGGCCAGAATCACAAACAACACAAGCCTCAGCTCTCCTGACAGCATACAGGGCCCCCTCCCCTGTCCTGTGCCACCACTACTCTGCCTTGGGTCACTGTCCATTGCCCACCACCCTGGCTGAGATGTCACCATTCACAGATGACACTGGCCTGGTTCAACTCTGTGTGTGTGTGTGTGTGTGTGTGTGTGTGTGTGTGTGTGTGTGTGTGTGTTTCCATGTCACTCCAAGTAATTTCTTCCAAATAACATTTGGGATAAATTGTGACACAGGGTGCTTTATCCCTAAACACCTGAACATGCATAGCCTAGAATAATGACATCACTGTACATGTTCACAGCACGCTCAAATCAAGAAATGAACACGGATGCCACCCAATCTGCTGCACACTATATTACATAAAGGACAACCAGATGGCCTTTATAGAAAACAAAAAGTAAAGGCTGTAAGGGAAGAGGGGAGGGGAACAGAGAGGAGAAATATGGCAGAGTGTCCAACCCAGGACAGCACGGATATTGCTGTCACATCTCTTCTGTTTCCATTAACCCAGAACTGGATTCTACAATAGAACATTCTAGAATGACTATGTCCTTTATAACAATATCCTTTGTTCTGTCCCATACAGTCTATGCCACTAGACACATGTACCCAACAAGTATTTCAAATGATCAAATGAAACAGTTGAATTGCCCATTTAATTTTATTGTAATTCAGTGAAATTTTGAGGCCATGCGTGGCTGAGAACCACTGGGTAGGAAGTGCTCCATTTCTCTGTCTTCTATAACCTCATGGTGCTGAACAGCACCTGACCCTAGAGGATTCCATTCCCATGAAGTCCCTAGAATCTAGATTCAGAGACAGAAGCATTTTAGGGGAGAAATGATGGGGAGTGGTAGCAGTCTGGGAACGAGCTAATCTGGTGATGAATGGACACACACAGACAGACACACACACACACAGACAGACACACACACACACTGCTATAAATGTGCTTAAAGTCCAAGCTGCATGATTGGAAATGGGGATGGTAGAACTGGGTGTGGGAGCCAACTCCTGTAGTCCCAGCACCTAGGAGGTTGAGGCAGGAAGATAACATATTCTGGGCTTGCCTAGGCTATCGAGTAAGACCCTAACTCAAACAAAGGTAAAAAATGGTTACAATGACAGATGTTTATCTATCTCAAGTAGAAGATTTAAAAAGAAAGATACAGAGACAGCGTGACCCACAGGCAGAAGGCTACGTGATGATGGACACGGGGAGAGACAGACAAGAATGAGGCTGCTGCAAGCCAGCAACACTAAGTGTTACCACAGTCACCAGAGCCTGGAAGAGAGTCCTGGGGCACAGTCTCCCTCAGAAGCCCATGAGAAAAACCACCACACTCAGACCCTGCCCCCAGTCTCTGGCCTCCGCCAGCAAGGGGACACAAGTCAGCAGAGAAGCACAGTTAAAGCAACTGCAGGAAGCAACAGAGCACACACACAGCCCAGCCTGGAAACTGGGACGAGGGGAGGCACTACACCGGAGAGCCCCCACCGCCACCTCCTGCCCTACGGAGCACTGAGCTTCCAGCCTGGCTCGACTATTTTTTGCCCACAGCTCCTCTCTAATTTCCACTAAGCGTTTATTTTAATTCCTCCCCGGCCTCCCATTTTGGAGTTAATTACACAGGTCCCAACCATAATCACGGCCAGCAAGGCCAGGCTTCCTTTCAGGGCTCAGCACAGGCCAGTACCCCAGCGGCCCAGTCTCAGCCTAGGCCCACCCTATCGCCACCCCCACCAGTGACCTCTTGGGTAACCTAACCTTCAAGAGCCACGCCCCTGGAAAACAGCCACACCAGCAAGGGCTGTCTGCATGGACGAGGGCAAAGGTCTTGGACGGTAATGTGAGGATCTACCACCAGCAGGCACGCCACCTCGCCTCCCTTCGTGCAAAGCTTCCCGCGACCTGTTCGCTTATGTCCTTAATCGTTGCCATTGTCCCATTGTCCTATGAGCCATCTTATCTAACACAAAAGAAAACTGAGACAGTAAGCTAATAAGGACTTTGGCACACAAGCAGACACCATCAGGAGCCATGAACGAGCCCATTATCTGGTGCAGAGTGAAGGGCACTTGAGATGTAAGGGTTCTGCAGGCACAGGGTCACCTGCTGTCTATGCCTATGAAAAACACCCTTAAATCCCTCTCTCTCTCTTACTATACAATTAGGAAAACTGACGCCCAGGGTGGCAAGGGTGTGGAGATGAATACCTGGCTGGGCAGGACAGGGCTATGCTGGCTGTCAGCCCCTTTCTGTTCCCATGAAGGCAGGGCAGCGGGCAGCTGCTAGTGCAGCTCAGATCCCTTCCTCCCCCACTGCCCGAGTACCAGGAGGGCATGAGGCCAAACCCCACCAGTTGGAGCCACTCACTCTTATACTGCAGAGACTGGCTCAGAGTCTAGACAGTGTCCGGAAGGTTGGAGGTAAGAGAAAGACAGAGGGCTGAGACTTCTGCAGTCTGTCTCAGAACTGAGGACACAGCCTGAGTGAGGCCCAGGCAAATGACAGCATGGAGGCAGACCTTCCCCGCTCTTGGTCAAGCTGATGGGGGTGTCACTGGCAGCCATGGAACACCTGATGGCCAAGCAGCCTTATTTGCATCAGGGGTGCACAGCATTTTGTCACTGACCTGGCTTGGCCTTCAGGGCCTTCATAAGGCAGCCAAGGGTCTCACAGTGTTCTGAAGCAACACTCAAGCTTAGGGGAAGTCTGGTGAGTGTCCTTGTGAGTAATAGGGCTCTCGAGGAGGCAAGCAGCAGGCCACTGTGTTTGCTTAAACACTCAGGGCACAGGCCAGCACCTCCTGTTGTCCTTGACCCTCCCTGGGCTTCACCTGTTGGCCAAACAGCCCTGCTTAGTGGGGCCTTGGCGGTGGGGGCCCCAGAGTAGACTGCTGGAAACGTCCGCAGCTCCTGTCTCGGCTCCCCAGCTCCCGGTGGATCTAATCAGGCTGAAATCACATTAGCACAAGGGCACAGTCTCCAAGCCACACACCTCCCCGGGCTCAGCGGGACAAGAAGTCTGACTGCTGCTCACTGTCATCTGTCATCCAGCTATGGCCAGGGCTGGGTGGGTGGGGCACATGTGAGCCACCGGGAAGCCTAACAGCACAGAGGGGCGTTTTCAGGCCCAGCCCATGTGGCCCCACCACAACTACTTCTCGGTTGGGCCTTCAGAGCAACTGACCATGATATAAAACAGTCCTCTCCCGCCTGAAGAAGAGCCCCATCAGGAGAGGCAACCTAAGGGCTGTAGAGACCCCATCGCCCTTGCAGGGCTCGTGGCATGCTGCCAGAGGGAGGACTGGCCTGCCCTGCAGGGCATATTCTGTGCGGATGCTCCATGCTCGGCACTGAGACGTGGACATAAAACCAGAACCAGAACAGGGGGGATGTGGGGGGTCATCAGCCTGAGACCACACAGCTAGCTGAAATCATTTTTAGTTTCAATCATCAAAATCACCTGGGAAGGGAGCGTCTAGATCAGTGGTTCTCGACCTGTGGGTCACGACCCCTTTGAGGGGCAAATGATGCTTTCACAGGGGTCGCCTAAG